ATGGTGGGGAGTTTCTCGGCCCCTTCGGGGTAGTCCAAGGGATGTGGGGTGCGGTAACTTTTAAGTATAGGCTTCGAAATACGTCTCAAGCGGTTCCAATTGAGGACTCTGGGTCTATTGTCCAGTCTACTGATGATGCTGAGTGCATGTTATCTCGTATGTTTGCTTTCCAGACGTTAGGTCTGGATTGAGCTGACGCGTGTTCGTGATTGACAGTTATATGGAAGTCAAAAGTTAGAACTGCGTGATCAATTTTTCCTAAGGTTGGCGTGTAATCTGTTAAGGATGATTCATAGTCCAGGTCTTACCTAGTCACTTCTTTCACATGTTGCACTAGGGCACAAGTGATAACCGCATCAACTAGCTTCTGCTCGAAGGAATTATCTGACAATTTAGATCGCGGATTTTCCCAGTCTACCAGTAGTGCATTAAAGTCTCCTAGGATTAGACATCGACCACTTTGTGACCAAGTATTGAGACTACTTAGCGGGATCTCATATACCTCACAGCTTGGACTCCGATAAGCCAAACCAATCTGCATCTCTTGTCCCTTGCATTTCAAGCGGCAACTAACCAATTCAGACTTCCTACTCTCATGGGATGCACTGTCGATAACGGCAAATGGGATAGCATTCCTAATGAATAGAGATACTCCCCCTCCTCTACGCTTTTGTATTCTGTCGGCCCTTACTAACGCAAAACCCTCCAAATCAAGTTCCATACAATCAACAGACTGTGTCGGCCAGGTTTCTGTAACTGCGATTATGTTTGGCTTTGTAGAGTCAATCTGTTCATCTAGTTCTGATCGCTTATTGAGCAAGCTTCGGGCATTAGTGTAACAGATCCGGAGCCTATTTAGATGGCATTGAGCTTCACCCAGGGTGGCTTCGGCATCATTTTCTGTCAGGGATTTTGAATACTACTCTAAGTAGTCTGGACTGATTAGGCTGCAAGTTTGCTTGACTACCTGGTTTGTACACCTTTAGCGAGGTGACTCCGAAGATGTTTTGAGGCATAAGTTGGTTAAGTAGCTGTTTTATCGGAACAATGTCAATCTCAAAACGAGTTTTCGTTTCAGAGCTTTCACTCTCCTTGATTCTATAAAAAAACTGACATATCACTGTGGTCAGTCTTCAATATCTCTACTACTTCCCTGTCATATCTTTATGTCGTTTCTTGCATACAACCTGTACCCATTCGTCAACGTTGGTCGAAGTAGCAACCACAGTCTCGCCAAACACCGTGGGATTCTAGAGAGTTGTGGATGATGTGAAATTCAGGTGATGTTTCTCGCTAGAAACCAGTTGGGGCTTCCAGGCGTTTTCTGCTGGATACCATTTACAAGACGGAAGACAGAAGAACCTTCCTTTCTTCAGTTTTTAGTTAAGATAGACCTCTTTGGATACTGTCTTTCCCCCTTTGGTTGGTCTGAGTCAGCTGTTTTCGGACTCACACCAATTTGCGTGTCGACAGAGCGAGTGATGTTCAAAGTGTCCAAACCACGCTTGCCAAAACACTTTTTGCAGCGTTCACCATTGAGATGGCCTCGGTTAGCAAACTGTTTGCATCCGAACGGCATGCTGACAAAGCTATACACAGCCGTTTTTACTGAACCATCTAAAAGTCTCAGGGGTTAAATTTGTGCAAACTTCGTGCTACCGCATGCCGCTTTCAATCAGATATCGACAGCCCGGACGTTGGCAATTGCTTTTTTCGCACTGTCCAGTCACCGCATATAGGTTTTTTTAAAAGAACTTGATACAGTGGTACTCAGAGAAAAAAAGAGTTATGACCATAAAAATAAAAAATTGTAAATTGTTAGAACTAAAAGTACTAACAGATACAATAAAAGACAAAGCACTTAAAAGTACCGACAATAAACTGCTTTAAAAACAGAAATGATAATCTTATCGAATACCTTAACTGAAATAAATTTAGTTAAAGTGTAAACAGTCGTCTTGATACGTGATAAACAATCAAAACAACATAATTTACTCGGCGAGGGGAAATACCGCTGTCCTTTTTAAATAGCGGGCGTGAAAAAATTAATTAATTCGAGTTGATCGGATGGCATGGCTCGGCCTTGCATGCGTGGTCACCGTTGAATGTTACCTCATATCTTTTACTCATATCAAATATATTGTTGTATCTCCAGCTTGAATGTGTTCTCCATTATATATTGTTAACTGTTAAGATACGATGAGCCAGTGTAGACAATGATGAGACTTCCATGTAAGGTCTTATAGATTAAGCAGTTACATCATGACGAATGTTCAATTTTAGGATTAGATCTATTATTAGAACAGTACTAATATCATATCAGACCATAACTCTACAGTACGAAGTCTATAGAAATGTCTTCAGTTAATTACACAAATAGTAACCATATTACTTCTAGTTACCTTCCATAATCTATATCACTATCTGTTAAAATTACAGATGATAGCTAGTTAAGCTAATCAAACACGAACAACCTAAATGGATGGGTAACTGCCACAACTGGAACAGTAAAACATACAAGTCTAATGGGAGATGGAATTCGAGCATCCTTCGTACACGGTGGGGTTTAAAAGGTTACACATCTTGTGGGACTGCACTTCTTCCTCTACAGGGAAAAAACAACTGGACTGTTCACATTTATAAACACAGGCTACCATTTTAAACAAACTTAAGGAGGGAACATCGACAGAAATGCAAAACACAATCCCTAGTGTGAGAACCGAGTGAAAAGGAGTACCAAAAAAGACTTGGAGAAAACCCCAAACATTAACTGAAATAATTCAAGTTGGAGTAAGTCAAGTTTACTTCTGAAGTGACAACAAGTACTAAAACAACAGACATGTTGATCAAACACAATTCCAGGAACCAGATGAGTCTGTTCAAATTTCAGTTGTTAATTGTCATAGTAATGTGTAAATACAGGGACTGTGCCCAATAAACAGCTGGACAGACCCATGATGAACCTGAGGAGAAGGCGTACAACAGATTGTATGAATCTAGATTCCCATTTTAGCTGTGGCGGTTGTGGTATTAATACTAGCTGATAATTTCTTTGTATGTGATTGCGTGCTTATTACGATTTACGAATATAATGCGTTCACTTGTGCTCATCTAGTTCGACCTGCATTAAGTCGTAATCTTTCTGGAATTCTTAGCACATTCATTCGAACACTCTCAGTTAACGTACTATCACTCATTGTTAACTTTCTGCGCCTAATAATAACTAAAATGACATTTTTATTATTTCGTTCAACTATTCTACTCAAGTCATCTTGAAGAACAAAAATAAGACTTATCGACACTAAGTACTAATAAAGTCTGTTAGTGGTAGAGCCTGTATAAATGGGTCACTTTTAATTAATCGTTAGTGACTGGTGACCTAATGGGTGAGATAAGAGACTGGTGATTTTCCATTCGATATCGCAAACGAATTTGATAAAACAAAACACATCCAGATAGCTGGTCTTATCGTAAAACAATCTTGCATTCACATTTTTTATGCACAAGCTGTATAAAAGTTTGAATGTAGAGCTCCTCTAAACTCCTTCAACAAGACCAAATCTATTCAAATGATGGTGCCCAGTTATTCCAGTTAGTTATCAGGGAACTTTTGACCCAGTTTCAGCTTAAATGAACGGACACTGAGGCAGGCTAGATAAAAATGTATGGCATTCTGGCTTATTATTTAGGAGCCTGGCTTCCACTTGCACAACGTGACGACAAACATACGCAATTACTCGCAGTATTGAAGGCCTTACTACGCGAGGTCCTCAGGAACGCTGAACCTAGTGACAAAAGATGAGGGGGTAAATAAATCCCCAGAATAAAAAAACTCTATGAGCCTTCGACTTGGATGTTAACCCTATTAGGTTAACCTGACACTTTCGCATGAACCTGCTTCCTCATCAAGTCGTCAATGAACACTAAGTTCGATGCACCCGTCTCAATAATTGGCAGCTTACACCACACTTTTCGACATACCGGCTATTTTCCTAACTTGTTTTGACCGAATTTGAAATCTTTTGATTATGACGGTGTGAAGAGTTGACGACCCTTCAATATTCTTGATACCTTTGTTTGGAAATTGAGTATTGCAAAATGATTCGTTGATGGTCTATTACGTAACCCTTGTTCAAGGGAGCAACGAATTCGTGCCAGACTTGTGCTATGTTGCTTCATTATAGGTTCCCCTTACCAGAAAGTAGTACGTTAGATTCGGCTATGGGACAGACCATTGAGATTCAGCATGTGATTCTTGCCAGTAAAGCTAAAATCAAAGTAAGTCTCATCATTCTGTTGTGAAAATAACTACCCGTAGGTTCGTTGTGAAAATGAACCCTACTTACGGACGAGTTGTTTGCAGATCTATCAGTTTGCTTTTATTAGTTACATTCTTCACGAAGCCATATTCGTTGAACAAAGATCTCGAGTTTGCCAAAGGCAACTCGGAAGAATCTCTTGTAATCTAAGTAAACCACAGTTTGGGAGGTTAACTGAAACGACTTTGCAATCTGCGGACGAACATAAGCTTCTTCAGGAACATACTCATACTGGTCCACATTATAAACTTGTCATATCCTAACGTGCCGTCAACTTGTTTGGAGACTGTCAGACTCTAGAAAACAACAGTGAGACGCCGCCTTCGCTTTAGGTAACGCCCGGCTACTGATCCCTAACGTGAGGTCTATCCTCATGGAATTACACACGCTCTGTCATTAAGACGGACTTCCCACGTTTCCTGGGACGGATAGCTCAAGCTGACACTGAAGGACATGAGCCAACCTACTACCCTATACTGAATAGTTGTCTTACTGTTTTCGTCCCATTTTTGTGAAGACCCCATACTTTTGTAGATGAATTGATTGGAGCCGTCACCAAAATCCATTAAATCCGAACAAATGAGGGACCCCGTCCTACTCTATGTTTACAGACCCGGCCCCCCTGATTGTCTTATTAACGACTTGTATTATTTTGTAGGTCGATCGAAGCAGCAGCCAATTGGTTTGCATAGAACATAGAATAACAAATTTAATACTCTCTTTAAATTTTATATTGTCACCTTGGACAGTTTAGATAGATATTTAGTTGTCTAGAGACAACATAAACATGAAGTATGAATAAAGCTAGTCTCTGAGGTACTTGCTATTGATTTTCGAGAATTCTGTCGAGGTATGAGCGGAGAGAGCAAACGGAGTAAGCGATTAGTCAGTCCCAGTGAGTGAAAACGTCTGGCACCCGGTATTAGGTGTCGGACTACTTTTGTCTACACGCCCTCCTATAGACTCAAGTCTTCAAGAACCCCACGCGAGAACTACCCTTACCTATCAGATTTCCACAATTTAGGGTCCCCTTAGTGGATTACAATCACACGACAGAATATTATAAACGTTTTCTAACCTTAAGGACTTCAATACGAAGCTTTCCACACTCAAGCTCTATTCTAAATCGCTGAGGGATAACAATACAAACCAATCTTTAAACATTACCTAATATAACATATGGAAAACAATTTATTAGAAGATTGCATCATTAATTGTGTTACCACTTTTTTTTATCTAGTGGGCCTGCACTGTTTGGGATAAAAAGTAGCAAAACAGAGACTGGGAAAAAGTATTAAAAATGTTTTTTTTTTATGTACAAAGAGAAAGTTCCTTGAACATTAGTGAACAGGAGAGACATAAGTCCTTCTCAATAATTCCAGTAACTGTTTCTTTACTAAAAGAATCAGGATTGGACAAAGAAGAAGAATGTATCATAGATTCTATAGCCAACCTGTCAGGATCATTAGACGAGTCAGTATTGGATATAGGAAACTAAAATAGAGAAAAAAAACACAACATAAATCCTCAAAAAAATACATAAATGATTAACAAGTTATAGCAAATAAAAAAACAAATACAAAATAATATATTGAATACGGTACAACAGGGTTCTAGATGGACTAACACAAACTTGACCTAATGCTATCAACCATTTTTTTCTTAAAGTCATTTAAAACGTTCATTTTAAAGTAGTTCAGTGAGCAAAGTAATAACACAGTGTAAGATAAGAACGCCAGATTCGGTGTCAGATATCTGATCAACAAATGACATACCCCTTCAATCAATGATCTCAAATAGGATTTAAAAAAAACAACACAAATCACATAAGTTTACAGATGACATTCTTATTGACACCGGTTCCTTCTTGGTAATATTATAATATACTTCTTTTATGATTGCTCATATAGTTTATGCTCAATGACCAGTAATTTACAATGATATGCTAAAACTGAAAGCATATGAAATATTCACCAGTTAACTGAAATACTCAATATATGATTTTATTAATCCTACATAGATAAAAATAGACAGCAATGAGCCATATAATCAATATGAAAATTGATGACGATACCACAATCATACATGTGTGATGTATACTACTGATGTTGATAGACATAAGTAGTATGTAACACCAATCTGAAGTGAAATGACTGGCAAAAGAAGATTGAACTAAAGAAAACAGAAAGGAAATTGAGAATTAGAAAAATCATGGACGATGTACAGAACAATTAATGGAAGACTTGAAAATAAAGTATTTAATGTATGGTTTTCACATTTTGTATTAAAGGATAAATTGGTTCTCTCCACCTGAGTTTTTGTTCACTATATATGTAATGAACAAATAGTAGATTTCAACAGTATGTAGCTGATTAGTTAAAATTACTAAAACGAGAAATGGAATGTACTAGGCTTATATTATAGAACTACTTCATCTGATAGTGAGTTCTTGTAAATATCTTGTTTTGATTATTTACATATTGCTGCTAATTTCTCATCAACTGTTTTTGAGCAACACATTCCGAACGATAAAGCCAATGTATATGTATTGACTTGTCAAATCGTTTTATGTGGAAAAGGATTAAAGTCTGATAAAAACAACCAATAATTGGTGATGACGAGATATTTGAGGGGAAACAAAGTGTGTGTGTGTGTGAGGGGGGAAAGAATTATATACTTTTAGTCAATATTTTAGGGATAACGTTAAAACCTATTTACCACACTTACCCGTCTTACTATTATGTGCTGATTGACTTACTTGACCTCATTTCACTTTAATGTTAAATTATCCTAAAAATAGGTGTGCAACCGAATTGTTGGAAATGTATGACGGAAAATCATATCTATGTAGCACGGTGTAAGTTGACTAAATCCGGATGCCAAGATTTTATTAGCTACGAACTATTTCACTGAATAGTGTCAAAGTATGAATTGACACAAACTAGTTTGAAGCTGTTAGCGGGACATAGATTGGATTAAATCATGCTCATTGCACGCTTACGTTGGCGCACGCTGATTGGCTAATTCTTATCCAATCAGCGCTAGCCGATGCTTGGAGAATACTCTGGAATCTTCTTATGTAAAAACTATGAATATACTAACGGTTTTCCTTTTGTGCTTCTCACTTTCATCTAACCTTGTTATTTGGAATATAATCTCTTTCCTGTCCAAACGTGTTCTGATTTGGGGACTTGTTGAGTGAATCTGTGTCCAAGATTACTAAGCAGTGGGAATAGCTGGGTTATAACCGTAAGAGAGAATTATAACAGAAGCAAACATTTTTATCACAGAAGATATGAACTGAGTCTTAAACATTAATAGATGGTCATTGAACGTGTTTGGGAAAAACCGAAACTTGATAAACTGAGGAATCATCATTAATAACTGTTTAAAAATTGGTGACTAATTTTACACCAAAATGTTTGTTTTACTTGAACGATCAAACATAATAATCAAAGACTTAATTCATATATTCAGACTACTTTTTGATAGACAGAAGAATACACTAATTACACATTCACAATTTAAAAATAATTATGGGTAATGCAATCATTGATAAAACAGATACTATGTCATGCTTCTTCCACATAAATTCACAGAAGCAATTCATTAACCTTAATAAAACCTTACTAAATTATATCCTTTTATAATAATACTAGTATGATGAATGTTATTCACAAAATCGCTTATGAGAAGTAGGTAGTGGAACGTGAAATGGAAGTTATTACAGTACATAACCGAAGAGAAAGGTTTCAAAAAGTCAAGAGCACGGTGTATGCAGAATAATTTGAGGATCAGAAAAGAAACAGAGAAAAACTATTTAGAACCTATTTCGACTGCAGAATCCTCAACAGGAGACAAATAGAGGACTGTGACTAGTGTAGGAGCAAACCGCTGACAGAAAGAATGTTTGGTTAGCGAAATTACACAATATTTATATAATATGTACACCTGGTCTTCAGTCATCTATTTGAATATTGTGTGGTCTGTAATCTAGTTTGATTCTAGACTATCTTTTCTCCCAATCTTGTCAATAACATTCATTACACTCACTTCCCTGTCGAATTGTTGAGCCTCCAGGCGTACTGACCTGTGTTGTCTTGTCATCACCAGCTGTTTCATCAGTTTACTAAATCTATCGTTGGAGCTGCCTAGTGCTCAAGCGCTTCTCTGTTACCTTTTTTGATGGTATGTGCAGTAGAAACAAAGAACGAACGTAAAGAGATCCGAACAGCATCAAAGGGAAGCAATAGTTCTTTTCAATAGGAGATTAGGTGAGATGTAGAGAACGAAAAGGGATAAGAGAAGGTGAACTTGGTTCGCGAAAATTGCTGCCAAAGTGAGGGGGACCATATGTGTACATCATGAGGTGCTATCGGCTTACTCCTACATCAGGAGCCTTTTTTATAAAATTGATTAAGATTTCTCGGAACTAATTTGGTTGACAAGTTATGTAAAGGTTGGTTTGATTTTTTACGTTGTATTAGTTACAAATCGACCTCATGGAGATTACACTGTGATGAATGAAACTGACAGATTTAAGAATACTTAAATGTTTTCAGGAATAAAAAATTTCATTACAAGATTGAGAAGTGTATAAATTAGGAATCCCATATAGTCATTGACTTATAGAACAATAAGAATTTCTAATATAACCTGGAAAATATTGACAACTTACATGACAGAAACGACATGTAATTTGAGAGTCATTTTCCAGAACAACTTTCGAAGATGTTCTATATGGAAAAAAGACATTAAGATTAAAACAAATGAGTAAATCTTGATAAGACATGCTATTTATCTATTTAATAGCAAAAACTGATATATTTCGAAGATAGGGTTATTGATTTACTTACTTACTTACGCCTGTTACTCTCAATGGAGCATAGGCCGCCGACTAGCGTTCTCCAACCCACTCTGTCCTGTGCCTTCTTTTCTAGTTTTATTCAATTGTTCTTCACTCTTCTCATGTCTGTCTCCATTTCTTGGCGTAATGTGTTCTTTGGTCATCCTCTTCTCGTTGGGCCTTGGGGATCTCAAATGGGGGCTTGCCTTGTGATGCAGTTGGGTGCTCTCCTTAATGTGTGTCCTATCCACTTCCAGTGCTTCTTCCTGATTTCTTCCTCCGCTGGAATCTAGTTTGTTCTCCCACAGCGGTTAATAAACACTTGTATCTTCTGGATGATGGCTTTCGTAGTTCTCCAAGTTTCCGCCCCATACAGTAGAACTGTCTTGACATTTGTATTGAAAACTCCGCCTGGAGCCCCTCTGAGGCTACTGCCGGTCCCAAATCCGGATAGAGGAGGAGAGTTAAGCATGGGGTTAGCGACCCCATTTCGTAGAAAACTAACTCGCTAAAAAACGCTAGGGTTATTAAGCAGCAAAAAACTGAGTACACTTTATAGTCTTAAAACATTTGTCCATGCACTCCTCTATAGAAAGCCTAAATAATGTTTTCAATAACAGTTAGACATTGTTATTTAATAAAACACCCCTATGAAATCATGAAGCAAACGATGTTGATTACATTTGTGAATAAAGTTATACAAACAGAGGAAAATGCAAAGATTTCAAAAGTAACAAAAATTGCTTAATGAAAAAGAAGTTGAATGATCAACTGTTTATAGGTTCTTTTTATGTGACATGTATTTTACAATTTGTAGTGACTATTACGACTACATAGATAGATGTAGTTTGAGTTAAATGGAATCATTTAGTCGCCTAAATCATAAATAATGTAAACTTAAACGCTAGTGTAGTGAACAGAACACTAGTGGGGATAATCGAATGTGTTTGAGCACAAAATTACAGAGCATTTCAATAAAATCTGATAACCATATAGGAAATCGTTAATTTGCAAAATATCAATCCATCATATCAAACTTGAGTGTTCCTGTTGCAAACATCAATCCATTGTCTCAGATTTCATTGTTCATGCATTTTCATACCAATTGCGTCCCGTTCCCGTTCTTTCCTCATCGACCTTTTACTAAAATACATTCTATATTTGACTACCGTTATATACTATTTGTGTGGATATAAGTAACCCACACCACACTAGTAATTTATTGATTCAAATTTAAAAATGTAAAAAGTTGAGTATGATAGATTACAGCTGCATAGTGCGGATCTGGTTGCCAGTTATCTTACTAAGTCGTTCCACTGAATCAAACAGTAATCTTATTATACAGGATACTAGATTTCTGGGTGATCAATCATAAGTGTACAATATAACAATATATAACACAAGTGGATAAAGTGAACTAACCTAAGAATAGTTCCAGTAGTCGACGGGAATCCACCAGATTGCAGTGCAGCTAAGAAATCTTGAGTTAATCTTTCCAATGTATTGACATTGGGATTTTTAAGAACAATTGATGTTAATGGATCATTAGGTGTAATAAACTCCAAATGCATAAAATGAGCAAATAAGGCTATTTCTTTCGCCAGAAAATCACGTAATGGTCTAACAATTGTTATATCTTGGTATCGTTCATCTAAGAATGACTATAATAAATTAAAGAAAACGTCTTACTAGTCAGTTAATCAAAAGTGGCTAAGAAATTTAGAATGTACGTTTTCTACTATATGTAGTGTGTGTGATTACATAAACTAATGCAAACTTTCGTCAAATCACACGCTTCCGACAGTGATCTATTGAAAACTTGTAACACTGAAGTCGAATTTCACCCCATCACAGCTGCTAGGACGCGAGTTTAGGGTTCACAGTTTGAATCAACCCAAATCAGTGAATTCAACTGGTACATTTCCCAGTTAACGAGACAATTCCGTCACCTTAAAACTTAGTGGAATGTTCAGTTTGGGGTTGTGGAGATTGTTGAATTCCATTGAAATCAGAAACCGATCAATGTTAGATCACCATTCAAAACCTGTAAGAACTGGATAGCCCTTTCGTCTTAGTATGGCACTTCTCAGAAGTGCACATCTATGACTGCGGAGTCGTTGTTTTTCAATGGTGGTCTAACATTGATTGGTTCATGAGTTAAATAGAATGTAATGGAACTATAATTTATTTAAACACATAAACATTGGTACAAGGAGGCACCAAATAGATATGCACCATATAAATCATTTGATGTGTGTGAGGCATAGGATACTTCTCGGGTGGTGGTTTTCTTAGGGGATCACGCCCGGAACCTTCGACCTAAAGATTTAATCCACAAGGCGGTGGGGCAACGTTAAGAGATGCAGCCCCATGGTAGCTGGTGACCAACGACAGGTTCACATGCCATTTGTTCCTTCAAGATGCTAGAGCCCATGTGCACCATGGGTTTAGAATCAGGGTTTTCCAACTCCCCTAGGTAAACTCTCCATATCCACCAAGCCGATTAAAGCGCCAGACATTCGCTTTTCATCCTTTGAATTTCGTAAACAACAGTAATACCACGAGAAATCAGTGATTAGGACTTCCCTGTCAATGGTTGTATGCACGTAGTCATATGAGAGCATTTCGAGAGGGAAAGTTGACTCTCACAATTGATTGATCACTGGGTGACCAATGTCATACCTGTCTAGTCCTTATTATTATTAGTGTAGATCGAATGCTATCGAGCATGTTGCAATGTGGCCACCAGTCTAGGTGACTCAACACCGCGGGCACTATTGTAAGATTAGATGGTGGTTGGAGATAATCGACTGGAAACCCTGAACCCAGGTTTTGTGCTACTTGGCACTCGTCATCAAGGTCTACCTGTAATCTTTGAGGGAACTGGTGCTCCCTGACCAAATAGCACAAAACCCGGGTCCAGGGTTTTCTGTCAACTATTTCCAACCACCATCTAAAGTTAACTCTCCCCACACTTGGCCATACCAGGGTATTTAGGGACAAAATGATAGTGTACACTAAACAAACAATTGTAATTTATTAAATTTAATGATCAAAAAGGTAACAATAACAACAACAAAAATCATTATTATTATTATTATTAATATTATACTATAATAGCTTACTGTTTGTATACTGCTATAATTTCCACGACCTTCTATAATTTCTAATAAATATTTCACAGTAACTCTATTACCACATTCACCCAAAACTAAATAATTACAATTAAGTTTACGTGTACAATCAATGAGTAAATTTAAACGATTATAATCATTAAATCGTTGTTTATTACTAAGTGATAAAGATGTCAATCTAGTTTCCCGTTTATTATTTTCTGAAATCTTTAATAAGAAAATAAAAAAGAAAAAATACATTCAAAGAAAGAATATAAATATTTACTTCATCTATAGTAATATTATAATATTCAAAATTACTATTTTTCATTATTTTGGTAATTAAATCTAAATTTTCTTGTGAATCATGTGGCTCTTTAGATGAAAAGAAAAAAAAAAAAATGGTAATGATGATGATAATGATGATGATGATGTAATTCAGCATACCAATAAGATGAAATACTTTTGGTACAATCTTCTTAGTTCGTTTCTTTATTCCATTATCATTATGATTATGATTATTATTATTCTAAAAATTATATAATCTATAATATAAATTATAATAATTACTTGTATTATTAATTTTAATAAAGTTGATGAATTTTGACCACCAGAATAACCTATAGCTATACTACTTATTTCAGTAGTTATTTTATATTTTCCAAATCCTGTATTAATTTTATGTAAACAATTATTAATAAAACATGATCTAAATCATATAAAATAAATAAATTTTTTTTAAAAAAAAAAGAAAAGATAAATTACTTGCATAATGATGGATCATCTTTTCTAATTAATATAGATGATGGAGATTGACATTTTATACAATGTGATAATCTATTAATATAAAATCTAATTCAATTGATTACCTTTCATTCTTTTTAATGATTGAAGTGAATAAACAAGAACAATCTTCTTCTTGACTACACATTAGATTATTATTATTATTACTGTTATTGTTTAGATAAACAAGAAGCAACTATTAAAATTGAATTTTATAGATGATTGATGTCTGAAAATGTAAAGTTTCTGATATTAGATATAAGATATATATATATACATATATATATATATATATATATATGTATATAATATAAGGTACAATTCACTTAAAAAAAGAACTTTGACAGGTGTCAGGACTATAGACATGTTGCTCAGTGGTAACGTCTCTGACTGTGAAGCTGGATGACACACGGGATCGAATCCGTCAGGGAGCACCAGTTCCCTCAAAATTACAGGTACACCTTGCTGACGAGTGCCAAGTAGAACGAAATCCGGGTTCAGGGTTTCTTGTTGACTACCTCCAACCACCATCTAAACAAGAACAATCTGCGTCTTGACTACACATTAGATTATTATTATTATTATTGCTTAGATAAACAAGAAGTAACTACTAGAATTGAATTTAATAGATGATTTATGTCTGAAAATGTAAAGTTTTGGATATTAGATATAGGATATTATATATATACACACGATATAAGGTATAATTCATTTCTTAAAAAAAACAACATTTATAGGTGTCAGGACTATAGACTTGTTGGGAATGGAATCATGGTAATGAGATTACAAAATAAACCATCTACCACTAATAATGAAAAAAAATATGTTATTGAGTTATACATGAAGCAAAATTGTGTACAAATATATGCTGGCCTGAAAGGGGATGGTACATCAATAAAAAAGATGAAATTACTAAGATAAGAAGTCAAAGTAATGGTAGTAGTATCAATAATTGTATTCAACATTAAACATGGAGAGTATTGTTCAATGAAAATAAATGACAAGAAGACATCTGAGAAGAAATATTAGAGCTGAATATCTAGTAAAAGATAAAAAAAAACACTTCCGAGCTGACTTCAGGTTATAAGCAGTGGTCACAATTATCACGCAGATGTTAACCAGTTAGTCTGGATTGATGTGTAGACATAAAAAAGACTGTTTAAGGCATTTGCCTTTGATCATAATTCAGAGGGTTTTGTCTAGACTTACTGATATATCAGATGTCCTAATTAAACATGTTTTCATTGTTCTAAACCCGCAGTCAAATTAGACAAGATTGTTCAATGTAGGCACTATCATCAATAGTTTTCTGGAAACAGTTATGGAAGAATTGGATGGTAATAGTATAGGTTAAGTACCGTATAAAAGCTCCGTGACTCACAGCACGTAATTATCTTTTTATTATGCGATGATATATAAGCTCTCCAAGTCGCAGTTGAAAGGTAAGAGATTGGCGTCCGTAATTACGTCATATACTTTGCATCGTCTTTTACAAAACTACCAAGAGTCTGTGCTTAAATTCACTCTGCGATAAGGTTTAGGACTATAATTTGCGATTATCATAGGGACTCCAAACAAAAAGTATAAACTTAACAAGGCTTAGTCAGACAGTGAGTCATATTAAGGGTTAAATGGGTTTTCATTTACCCCATTCTATCTATTTTCAAACCTATTCCCATGCTAATTACCACTTCCGCAGAAGTATCTGAAGTATGTTACGTATGATACCATTACCTTAAGTAGGTAGCTAGCTTAGCTGATTTATTGCACAGCCTGACCTAGTAAAGTTTATAGACACGAATTCTATCTGTTGTAGAGATGGCCCATGATTAATTTTCAGATCACACATCAAAAACCATGGGTACGTCCTTAATATGTACGCATTCGGCTTTCTGAGTAAGACTGCTTTTATTGTTTCTACACAATCTAGTAGAGATAAGCGTTCAAACTAAATCTCCCATACAGACCCTTAGTCAATATTATAATAACTTCAGCAGCTAAAGAAAATAGTTCACTTAACTCCAAATTATTCAGTTTTCCAAATATTTATCGATAACTTGAATGAGACATTGATGTTAGCTTATCGTCTACAGTAGAAGGCTTTTAGTAACATCGTGGTATGAATCAATGACTTAGATGAAATTTATATCTCCCTATAAATCTTGGATATACAATTAATGTCTATCCACTTTTCCTATTTATTCATGTCACTTCTAGGTTTTACCATTTTTGTGCTTTTAACGACATTGCTTTTCCACTGCTGATAAACCGAACATCCATATGCATATAAGGATTAGGAGGTATTTTAACTAATTAATAGCTTTTATGATATTGCTTATCAAAAACGACATGATTTAGAAGTAAAATAAGACGAGATGGTCGCTTTTTTAAATGGCGATTTTATATGAAAGGTAGTTTCACAAAGATTTGTTCTTCTTTTCTTTATTCTAAATAAACTCCCAATCAAGTCACTTCATTGTTGACGAATTTAATAATAGTTACTCCTAAATCATGGTTTAAAAACGCTGTGAATTTTATTCGTGGTGTTCTTACATTGTTGTTTCGAGATGTTTTACCGACTCCTAAAGATAGTTTGTATCAATATCATAAGAGTCATATGAAATAACTTTAAGAAGCATTCCTGGCCTATTTATTGATCCACGTGTAAGCTAATAATCCCACGGATGTACCTAGGGCAAAAGTAGTCTGCTTTAGGACAATAATACTTAGCGGCTTTCTAAGTGCTTTCCAACAAGCACCTTCATCGTATTCGTTAAAGCTGTCACGTTTGGAATGTTCCTTTGAGATGTATAAGCGTCCTTGAGATGGAGCTCTAATTCGGGTTAATTTGCACTGGAACTGGACACGGAGTATTTAAGACCTTTTATTTGTGATTCCATTTGACGTTGAAACGCTTTGTCGTGCGTTTTGATTTGTTTGTAGAGGTTACTTTCAGGTTAGTGGATTCCTTATTTTTAGCAGGTAACGATTTCGCAACTATGATGTCGTCAGGTCTCAAAACTATATCGACAATGACAAATACATGATCTATTGTACATGATAGACCAGCGTCTTCTGGAACACATGTTGTCAAAAAGCTCGAGTACAATTCTTAGCGCCTTGATAGTATTTTTACACAGAGGGATTTCCATGAGCGACATACTTCGAGCAAACATTGTGAAACCGATCTGCAACCCAATTTATTTGTGGCAAGAGTTAGTGCAATGAGTGTTTTGTGGTACCATATATTGCAGCCGTCTCAATGTATTACATCCTTAACCTGGAAGCAACAGGTTGGTTATTTAGAACTATCGTTTGTTCTGACCATTTATATGAAGAGACATCATAGAGGCGTATGCACAAACAATAAACAACACTAGGAGACACACCCTTTTGTACGACAACAGAAGAACAAGGACATTTATGCAAAGCCACCAAAAGCATTCAGGATGCCATGGAACAGGTTTCCTGTGTGGTCTGGAATGATCTACGTAGTGATGATGGGGTGATGTATACTGCTATGGGAAGTCTTGTGACTTGATTGGCGCATTAATTGGTCAGGTTGAGTCCGTTCGAAAAATGTTGCCATTGTTCAATTTCATGAGGCAGCATAATTTTTGCAAACTTAGCTATTATTTCAAAGACCTCGTGAACTATAGTTAAACATTGTGAGTTGCCTATATACCAGTCACGATACTTCTTCAGTGACTCTCCAACTGACCACATACTGCTTGACTTTGATTCTGATGATCGATTTTTTTAGGTGATCATGTTAAATTATCGACTTTAATATTGTCGGGCGTTACGCTCAGCAGTCTCAGATGCCCTTTAGAGGAGAGATAACTGGGTTCCAAACGCTTAATTATGAGGTGGTCTGGATTAACGTCCTGCGACCTGCTTTGGATTTACATGTGTCTGTCACCCATGCCTGTGTGCATAGTCCTTGGGTTGAGTAACACCTTCAAGGTTGGATGAACAGGTTGTGTTGAGGCCAGGTTGTTAATGCTTGCAACTTCACAGGACAGAGGTACTACTTCAGTTTACTTCTGAACATGTATGAAACTTAAAGGACTTGACACAGAGAACTTTTCATAAGGCTATGGCTCTTTCAGGAAATTTTAAAAGACTACTGTTTTATATGCCATTGCTACCGGTTGCCTGTTAGAAAATCGTAGTCTGTGTATATGTTTTGTTGTGGGATGTAGATTCAATAATCTGAGCACTATTAATTTGGAGTTTACGGTTAATTTGTTGTCTTTTCTCTTGTATTCGGTAGTTTTAAACTAAGAGGTTTGGGAGTGTTTGTCAACTTCGCGAACCAATTTCTGTGTCGATGGATCACATCCTCTTAAATACAGCCTGACTTGATTCTGGAATATGAGCATAGTTAGCAGTACCCGTCGAGAGTTTTTAACTAACATCTTGCAGCATCTAAGAGGCTAAAAGGGACTGCAGGAGGAGTGAGTTTATTTAGAACACATTGTGGATCCCATAGCATGGGAATAATTGGAAAGAAAACTGTTCGTAAGTGATTAGAGGAAATAGGAAAAAAGAAACAATCTAAAGTTTCGAACCAACACAATCTTTGGTAAAATTACAGACCCCTGAAAGTCTTCACAAAACCCTTCGTAAAGATGACGCTTTTTGATATTTTAACCGAATACGAGACAAAATTGATGATGAACATCGGGTCATGTAACATTTGGATATTTTTTTAGACCATCTCGCTCCATGCTCCCCGAAATTGGGAGATTGGGTTCTGTCAATAAAACGTTCGAACCCTGTTTTGCACAAAAAGCTTTAGGGGATGTAAGTTATGACTAACCCTCATAGGGGGGGCTGGCAATTACAGAAATAAATGTATCAATTAAGTGAGTTACTTCATAAGAACATACAGTGAAAATGCCATGAATGAACATTTATAACCAGCCTACCAGGATGATCTGATACTGTCTAATAAAATGGATGTTATATTTCGAAATTATCCCAATTTTGAGGAAAATTCGACCCGTTGCAGAAAATTTTGGGGAAATGGCAACCAAACCCCGAAATTTGGGACTTTCCCCAATATTTCCCAAAAACTTTGAGGCTTTCCCTCAAAGTTGGAAGATCGAGATTGTACAGACAGCTTAATGAAAGGTATTTTGGTCGAGATTTCACTTCCTATCGTCCTGCAAAGAAGTTTAGTTTATATGCTTCTTGTTGTTTTGCATAAATGTCCTTGTTCTTCTGTCACCTTACAAAAAGCTTTTTGTAAGGTGACAGAAGAACAAAGTGCCCTTTTTTGCTTGTGTATATACACAAAGACTTCATAAAGATGTATATAAATGTTTATGAAGTTCCTTCACATAAATGGTCAGAACAAATGATAGTTGTTGTTGACTAACCTGTTGCTTCCAGGTTAAGGATGGAGTACGTCACGACGGCTGCAACGAAAGGTATCATAAAACGCTTGCTGATCTAACATTTTTTTCTTTATATAACGCGTACGGTGAGACCATAATTTATGGACGACCTTCGAGCGACGTTGAAGTGGCCTTGAGAATGTTCATCTACTTGCTAGAGCCAAATGAGAGTTATAAACCTGTGTACAGAATAAGGATTGTAGTTTGCAAATGGTTGTCAGGAATTAGATTTAGAGTTTTCGTCACGAACTGACATAAGCTAAAATCCCTAAACGCTTTTTAACCAGATGGATAAGTGAATTTTGCGCCAAAATCCAATACATGTTATCCTAAACCCACAAATTATAGTCTCGCCACAAAATTCACAGCTATTTAGAATGCTAGGTATCCTTCCATCGAGTCTGCTACTTATTGATATTATAGTGCACCTATCTGGCTTCGAGAATTATATAGATACCTTTGGTCTACGAGTTTTCCTTAAGTCGAGTAGCGAATTAACAAAAAACAGGTGGCAAAGTCATGAAGCACAATTTCTAGAGACGCCTCCTTGGCGTTTTCTCGACCTTCAAATGGCTGTGGATGGAATAGAAGGAGCCTTTGCTTAATGGGTTTCCGAGTCTAGTAGAAGTGGATCACCAATACATCCAGACAGGAACCTAGGTATGTTAACGATAAAAGAGGAAAAAGAATTCGGTAAATTATAGTAAGATACCATCCTTAGTCCTTAAGAATATGTCAAGTTTTCTCTTAAAGGACTCCTGGGTAGTCGCTTGGACTAGCTCAGCTGGCAGTGAATTCCAGCATTTGACAACTCTTAAGGAGTAGAAGTTGTGCTCTAGTTTCTGGGCATAATCCGTTAGGATTGTGTTGGAGCTTAACTTAAGTAAGTGTTTAAGGGGGTGTTGTAGGGTCAGTGAAATTTCCAATTGCTGAGTTCCATAGACAAACAGAGGATACGAATGCTAGAAATTACGGTGTATTTGGACATTTCTAAGACAGCAACGACATCAGAGTTTCCTATGTCCTCCATCTTCTTGAGCCCCGTCATTTCATTTTGTTGGCTGCGAGCATTTGTGTAGCATACGTTTAATTCTGTGGAGAACTTTTTCTTACCACCTAAATTGGTTAGCAGATCGTTTCACCCGTAAGTGAGTGATCACCACTACCCGGTGTTTCGTAGCGCTTCAGGAGTTAAAGTTCCTTGCGGACTTCCGCCTCATTTGGTGGATCAGTCGTCACCGGCCATGGAGGGCAGGACAGTCTGACCGATGTTGCCGGAGCAGTAGGCCAGTTGAACTGCCCTCCGAAGAATTCTGCCTATCGTCCAAGACGTCGGTGGATGTCAGTGATCGGCATCCCGTAATCCTCGCAGATTGTTTCGCCCACACCAGACTTCTTGCTGCCAGTGGCTCGGATGAGTTGGAAGAGCTTCCGTTAGTTACCAGATACAGCTGCTGCTTCCAGCTCATTAGTACGCTCCGACCACCAGGCTTCTCGGTCCTTACGCAAGCTCTGCTCAATTTCATTACTCAACATCCTTCGTTTGTGGTCAAACTCACGGTCACCCGGAGTAGACCGACGGGCTTCAATCAGTTGTAAGGAACCAGAAGAAACCCAGAGCTTGTAAGCGGGACGTTTCGCGAACCCACAACAGACTGTACCCGCCATTTTCATGGCGTCATACAATTGCAACCAATGCTCATCTATACTTTTTGGTGGAGTGGTAGCTAGCCTAGAAGCTAGCTCGGTTCGGTACTTACTAGCAACAGAAGTTGCAACCAACTTGCTGACATCAATCCTTTGGTGGCGGTCACTTCGTTAGCTACTGAAAAGTAAGGTAAGATTGGCGCAGACCAGGGCATGCTCATAGTCCAGACAGATACTCCAAAAGGAGCGGCAGTCTTGTACATAACCACGCCAGCGGTAGCTGATCGCGATGTGATCGATCTGAGTCCAGGCTTGAGATGCAGAAGGGAGACGCCAGGTGGCACATCGGCGATGACTGTGCCGAAAGTTAGTGCTAGCCAGAAACAGGTTGTGGTCTGTGCACAGTTGCAGTAAACGGTCCTCGTTATCTTTCCTGTGACCAACAAGATCCCATAGGCCACATAGACGATTCTCTTCTGTGCCTAGACGCCCGACCTGAGCATTCAAGTCTCCGGCTAGTACTACAATATCTGTCGAACGCACTTTCTGGAGAAGAACAGTTAACTGGTGGTAGAATTCATCCTTGATTGCATCCGGGCTTCAATCTGTCGGGGCATAGGCGGAGATGACGAAAAGACATCGTTTCTCACGCCGATTTCTTCTCACTTTGATGGTACTTTCTAATCTAACAGCACATGGCCGACTGTTAACGGGGATCCAATAGATTAGTGCTGCCTCGACTCTAGATCTTAGTGCGACATCTAACGCCAGCAAGACCAGACGAAGATGCCACAGGGTCCCCGGATAAACACACGTAAAACAAGCTTTTTGAAGTGACAGGTGGCAAGCAAATTTGTAGTACTTCACCAGAGTCTTGAATACTGGTCTCGGATAGACAACAAACGTCAATGTTAAGACTTTCCAAAGACATAGCCAGTCCTATCTGCTGCACGATTTGCATAATTGTGCGAACGTTGAAGGCAGCCAGTTGGAATTGTGCACGCGGTCAGTCTTTAATGTAGCAGGATTTTAAGAATTAACACAAGGTCCGGGAGCTTTAAATCCCCATCATACAACTGTGAACGTTTCACAATCTTATGACATTTGTTTATACCAAGTTTATGATGTTAACAGGTTAGCTCAATTGCTTTAACCTACATTTTACAAAAACCCACCAACATCCATGTAAATAAAATGTTAATGGTTTCACAGCTCATATAACCTTAAAACTCTGCTTTCAGTATATTTATGGCTTCGCTAGCAGGTTACAAATGGCCTATAAGTTTCTTACTTCACGTAAACAGCGCTCTTCATTTTCTAACCCTTCTAGTATTTCACATAGACATTTGGTATTAACAAAAAATTGGTAAGCACCATTTAGATATTACTTGACAATATGCGCTAGAACTTTGTTCATAATTTGGTCAATGGCTGAGGATTCTGTTTATAGAAACTTATTCGTGAACCCTCTAACCGACACACGATAAATCAGTATTAACTATGACATGGTTTAGTCACCGTGCTCAAAAGAAACACGCATCGTTTTACATATGAAGAATTTTTGACTACTTAATGTGGCACTTCCAGTGGCGTTATACACTGTTCCTGTATATGTTTGGGAAGCGGATATAAAAGACTATCAACGTACATTGTTACTCACACAATTATTTGCAGACACGTTACATAATAATATGTCACTTCAATATAAAACGATTATACTTATTATGGATATAACTGTTTGTGGCTACATGTTTGCAGGTTATATAATATCCATAAATAGTTTGACGCTTAATCGCTTCAACCTACATTTTATAAACAACTATCAACATTCATGTTCATCATCACCATAATTAAGGAGGTGATCCAACCCGAGCTCCCAATTTCGGGGAAACTCCCGAAGTCAAAAGACTTTGACCAAGGTTAAAGGGTAATTTTAAGGAAATATTGGGGATTTTCCCAAAGTATTCCGATGATTTGTTCAGAGTTTGATAGTTGAATGTACTAAGCGTAATGAAAGGATAAACATTCAGCCTACAGAACTTCAAGTACATGCTGATATAGTCTTTGTTAAAAGAAGGATAATTCTTTATTGTCCTCGATAAGTAATACGCAAGAAATTGAACCGAATGAGTCTTTAACATGAGGTATTCCTATTGCTAAGACATTGAAGTCTGGTAAAAAGATTCTTAGAATGTGTAGTGATTACAAATTGACAGTGAACACTCGTTTGTTAATACAAAAATGCACGACGTTGTAAGCTGAAAATATTCTAAATCGACTCCATGGTTCTGTGGTGTTCTCGAACGTTGATCTAAAAGATTCTTGCTTTCAAGTCCCGTTAGGTCAATCTCCGTCAATTATAACGACAAGTAGTACTCCTTTTGGCCCTTTCATATACAACTTCTATTTAGCCTAAGTTGTTCTCCAGCCATATTTCAAGAAGTGATGAGTGAGTTACTCAGTGATTTCGAAGATATTGAAGGTTATCTTGATGGTCTAATTGTTCACCTTTCTGATTAAGTAGCTCATTTATTTGAGAGGAGTGTTATGGTGAATCCAAATAATGGTTCATTTTTTGCGTCTGACTTTAAATGTATTGGATACCTAGTTGACATTAACAATTTTAAAGTAGATATGAAACGATGAGACCTAGTGGGTGCACTTCAATACTATTCCCGTTTTGTTTCTAATAATTCTTGTCGTGCCTATTGATTATTTAATGTTTTGACATCCAATTCATTCAAATGGGGTGAGAAAAGAGAGGAATGTTTACGAATTCAACCAAAGTTCTTCAAAGTGATGCTGTTCTTCTAACTTACTCCTCTAGTGTACATTCTGTACTTATTACAGATGCACCACCTGTGGGTATTGGTGTAGTTTTAGGGCAAGGAGTTATACCAGTTATTTGTATCCACGCAAAATGCTGTTGCTGAACAAGATTATTCACAAACTCAGCGAGGAGCATTAGCTCTGTTTTGGGCGGTCAAAAGACAATAAATGTTTAGTCAGAAAGAAATTCACTATTGTTACTGATCATGAAGATTTAAAATTCATTTACCATTCTGAAAAATCCTTAGCATGTTCCTCAGCTGCTATGGTTCAACGATGGGGTATTGCTTCGATTGCCCATAACTATATGATTCAGCACAGAAATACCAAGCAAATTTAACATGTTGGCTACATATTTCAACAAGCATTACGAGATAAACCTGCTAATAGTGAAGACTGTTTCTTGGTGCAACCTTTACCGATGAGACGTCCAGATCTCATGGGAGGAACTCGTAGATGCCTTGAGTGTATAATCAGTGCCATGGGAAAAGTTGGAATGCTAATACGAAACGTAGATTTCCTGTCTATTTTCCAGAGCGGGCTGAGTTATTCACTACTCCTAATCGTATTTTGTGTAAATCTGTCCTCAAATATCTTCCTAGTGGACATTTGGGTGTTGGGAAAATCAAGTCCTTGACAAGCCTCATATGTTGGTGGCCGGAGATAAATGCAGACATACGCCATAGGGCAAACAGTTGTGAAAGATGTCATAGGTTGAAAAATCATCTTTCGAAGTGGATTCCATGGCCAGTATCGTTTGAGGCCTGACAGAGAATCCATACAAACCATTGTGGTTCATTTCTCGACAAATCCTATGCACTTTT